AATAAGCACCACACCACGGGTATATTTGTGTGGAGAAAGCCTATCATGGAGAGTACAAACCCTCTCCTCTGATCCTTTTAGATTTATTACTCTTCGTAACTTAGACAATCTTCATTCTCACAGAATTCAGTTCCCAACCGGGTCTGTTTTAACTGCAGCATTCAGAAAACCTTGTCCTTGTAAAGCACTCAGAGCTGCACTGTTTCACATAGTCCACAACACGGGGGTGAAAAAAAAATTCTAACACAGCAAATTTTAATTAAATGGATTTTTACCATGCCCGTACATCTTTAAATTAGATTTTTATTGAATAACATAAGCAGCTTGCCAAATGAGAACAGACCATTCGGCCCATATTGCTGGTATGGCAGTTCAGCAGCTTAATTAATTTATCCAGTTATTTATTGAATGAGCCCAAAGTCTCAGCCTCAACCGCTTGGGTGAGGTGCCTGTCCCAGACACCCACAGTGTGAAAAAAAAGGGTTTCCTATTCTCCAGTCTTAATGAATTCCCTTGTAGTTTCCAGTCGTGACTTTGTGTCCTTACTGTGCTACTGACTGTGAAATAATTGAAATAATCCCCTTATCTGACCTTACCCGTTAACTCCTTAGTTTACAATGTGGCATTTCACCATGAGCAACCTCTCCCCAGCCTCCTTTACATTACAGTAATTAAAACATGTTTTAATAAAATAACGGCACAAACCTTATAAACGCTAGTCAAATGACAAAGTATAAAGCATTTCAAAGCTCAAGTGTTTACAGGAACCCTAAAATTTGCAGAAGGGTATTGATTTCTGAGCCATGTTACAATTTGGAAAAATACAGGAAGGATTACAGAGAAGAAAAATTACCTGTAATCAGTAAGAGGTATTTACAGTATGTAAGGACATAAATTCAGCAGGACAATGATAGCTATGGAAATCAAACATGGCCCTGGTTTAGTCTGGCACAGGAAGTGGGTATGAGCCCCCACAGGAACAGGGAGAGAAGACCACAAGGAGCAGGACCACCATGTCTAAGAGGAGGTACAAACGGAAACTGTCAGAGAATCTCACTGGCGTCATAGAAACAAAAAGGGTCAGCAGCCTGGGTCCCCGGAGTCATTGAAGTGTAATTAGATTAGGAACAGACTCAGTGAGTGCCTGTAAATAGACAGTTCCTGGAAATAAAGACAAAGGAAGTTTTTAGGAGGAACAAATAGGAAATAATGTGAATGAATACTTAGGATTTGCTGTGAATGATCCACATGACTGACTCAACTCATGTATGATCACGGTTTGAATGGATCATGGAACCATTATTGTAAATCCTATTTATTTCATTTGCTGCAATGGGAGCATTGTATGGTCTGTAAATTTTCTGTAAAAAAAAATTCTGCTCTCAGTCTGCGTAATACTACAGAAACTAGGATGAGTTCTGGTAAGGACTTTACCTTCTACTTTTTTAATTCAATATAATGAAAGTAATAAAGTAAGTTATATCTACACTAGAAAGGCGGTGAATGTGTAAAACTGTGGATATGTAAAATTACTCTACCCATTAAAAGTAAGAAGTACCTGTAGCTTTCTTTGCTGGAGAACTTTTGTGTAGTTGCTCAGGATCCAAGCTTACAACAATTCTTTCATTTAACATGGCACCCATTTCAGATATCTGCACGTCTAAGGTCCAGAGCCACTATGTAACACAGTCCCTTTCACATCTCTTTAATAACATTAGCCAGCTGCCCAATAGCTGCTCTTTTAATCAAAAGAGTGCACGGACCACGCTCAGCTTTCTTCAAAGATTAACGTCAACCGTTTTATAACTTCTCTGTCTCTCATCGGCCCTTGTAAAAATGCAAGGTTGTAAAAATGCAAAAATAACTTGATTTTTTAAAAATAGTGCTACAGTATATTTGAGTGTCCATGAGCCAGGAGGGCACCGAGACCTCTGTTAGTATTGTTGTGACAATGAAGAGAACATACAGATAATAACAAATGCCAGTGAAGAGTGTTCTTCTGACAATAGCCCACAGCACAGCACGTTCTGTAAGGACTTACTGTACCTGTACCATGTAGACAATAACACCCTTCCACAGTACTGCAGGAGAACTGAAGATAGTCTTCTGTGGACATTTTAGCTGAAATAAATTCTAGATAGCATAGACAGTACCTTTAAGATAAATCACAGTGTTAACAATACTGTAGATCACTGTAATATGTAAAGGATTTTGAATGGAAAGGTTTCAGGTGGAAAAGGAATTTTTCAGCATACATGTATCTATTGGAGGCAACTGTTTCCTTACAGCAGCAGATTCTAGAGTCCTCTGGACGTGCTGCGATCAAGGCTGCGCAGTGACGAATCACCAATCTCCCTCACTCGTTTCTGTCCGCACGCTCTCAGCAAAGACAAGGAGCCACAAGGAGCACATTCTGTCTGACCAGGACGGAGAGCACAGTCTGCTACTGTGCGGACAAAACGCACACTATGAGGCATTCTCTTGAAAACGACTCCTCGATTGTTCACGAACTGCATCATTGTAATCACTGCATGTCATCACAGCACCCTATGTGTAATGCAGTTTATAACCATCATCATCAGGCTACAATATTAGGTTAGCAAATGGAACAGGAGGATTTTTCTCAGCCTTTTCTGTGTCCCGCGTTCGTCTCCATATGTTGTGTTTTCAACGTGACAGTGGAAGTTGAATTTGAAGGATTTCTATACTACATGTCCTGTAGAGTTTTCCATAAGGATGTTAGGCTATGTAATGATAATAATAATTACTTACACTTATATAGCACTTTTCTGGACACTCCACTCAAAGTGCTTTACAGGTAATGGGGACTCCCCTCCACCACCACCAATGTGCAGCTCCACCTGGATGATGCGACGGCAGCCATAGTGCACCAGAACGCTCACCACACATCAGCTATCAGTGGAGAGAAGAACAGAGTAATGAGCCAATTCATAGAGGGGGATTATTAGGAGGCCATGACTGGAAAGAGCCAATGGGAAATTTGGCCAGGACACCGGGGTTACATTCCTACTCTTTTCAAGAAACACCCTGGGATTTTTAATGACCACAGAGAGTCAGGACCTCGGTTCTACATCTCATCCGAAGGACAGCGCCTGTTTACAGTATAGTGTCCCAGTCACTATACTGGGGCATTAGGACCCACACTGACCGCAGGGTGAGCGCCCCCTGCTGGCCCACTAACACTTCTTCTAGCAGCAACATTAGTTTTTCCCAGGAGGTCTGCCATCCAGGTACTGACCAGGCTCACACCTGCTTAGCTTCAGTGGGTTGCCAGTTGTGAATTGCAGAGTGATATGGCTGCAGTCATCTACAGCTTCATCCTGATTCGTGTCAGGACGACTCCACGCTGGCCATTTAAGCACCCCCAGAACACCAGCTTCCACTTTGATTTTCAAACTCTGTTTCCACTGTATCTCAGATTGCAATGGAGGAGTTAGATCTAAAGCAAATGTCTAAACATAAGAGTAACCCAAATAATTGCACAGGACTTCAGTTTAATATGTCATAGGTTTGGGCAGTATATAGGTAGGAGTAATGATATTCAGAGCATTCCCATTCCTCTTGTACAAGGGTGATCAAAATGGCAGGGAGTGTGTGTTTGGGTGTGACATGAGAGAAACCAAAAATACTGTGAAATACTAATGATTTCTGTTTCCTGTTAAACTGTTCTGTTCTGGCCACTGCTCTCAACATGAGTTTTGGTTCTTTTGTTCTGTCTCATACAGGTTGGGCAGCAATGTCGTTTTCCACCCAAATAAATGCTTGAAGTTATTCCCAGAACCTGCAAGAGCCACAGCAGCACAAATATGCTCTGACAGAAAGATGAGGTCCATGTGCAGTCTTTCCTCCGTGTGAATGTGTTGCCTGTGTCAAGCACTATTCAGGTTTCTGGTCTTGTAGACTGTAAAGTTCAAAATGACTGCTGTAATTCCATTCTTCTTTACAATCTTTACAATTGGCAACAGTAGCCACAGTTTAATTTTAACACATTTCATTGACAGTACATTCCTTACTTATCAAGACCGTCTCAGACACACAGAGTCCCAGGCAGTCTTTTTAGAAGTGTATTTGGAGCTGCATAAATTCATATTCAGCTACAAAAAAGAGCAGTGTTCACACATAGCATTCTTGTAAGCATGGCTCAGTGTCATTCGCACACCTCCTACGCTTCAGGTGCCTGTGAATGAGAAATAATGTAATTATAATTAACGGATTAATTGAATGCAAGCATATGCTTAAGACATATTTGTTTTCCTGTTTGCTGTCACTCCAGGTGACTTTATGAAAACCTTTCTTCCTGTCTGTGGAGATCATTTTTGGTGAGAATGCACATGCAAAAATACATCACTTACACTTCATATTTATCTAAGTGTCACTGTTCATGAGAGGCACAGTAGCGTGATGGTAAGCCCTGCTAAATCAGGGGACCCCGAGTCTACAAGAGCCCCCAGAGGTCCCTCACAAACCTGGTAGCAGACAACCTTTTGCCTTCGTTTGAAGCGAGGTAGCTTGGCAATAATACCTTATAATTATGCAGCACATTCACATCTATACATTTGGACAGCTGGGTATTGTTCTGGAATAGTTCAGGTGAAGCGTTGCTCAAGGGTTCAACAGCAATGTCTCACATGGGAATTTAACCCCCAACCATCCGCGACGAGTGCAGAACCTCAACCGCTGCTACCCCTCCGCACCCACCCGAGTTGACGCGCTACCGCCATTATTCTCCGGCAGCCCCAAGTTTTTTGTTTCAACAACAAAATCAAATGTTCACTGCTGCGTTGAAGCCGACGTTTGAAAACAATTTCTCCACTTTCCGCATGAGGGCTCCACAGTAAACCCATGCTTTTTTGCTACTCAATGTTTTTTTTTCCCCTCTTAGATAAGACAGCACTTGTAGTTGGCTCGCCGGTTTTGGCCCGTATGAGTAGGGTGGTAGGATTGGTTGGGCTGGGGAAAGCTGACGTCTGCGCTGTTTTGCATCGCAATGCATTGAAATACAGCTGGGAGACGGACAGCAGAGAAGAAGGACTTGGGAAGTGAATAAGGGCTGGATGTAGGGTTTTTCGAGGAAGAGACAGAGGCTCGTTTTGTTATTTTCTAATAAAGGAGGGGAAGACCAAAGATAAACATTGATCACCAAAATGCTTTGCCATGTTACACGGCCGGATTCGGTGGTAATGGAGGTGGAGGTGGACCCGAAGGCAAATGGAGAAGACTGTCTGAATAAGGTAGGCTTTTGTCGGGTAGGGGTTTGCGGCTCTGGTTTCGCTTTCCTTGAGAGAAACTGCGCCTTGGCTGATTCTCTCCATTCCAGGTATGATTGTGAGGGATTCTGTTTCCATTCCGAACGAACCAGAGTCAAGAATCGCTTGAAATGTCTGTTTTTTCTCCCCGCAACTTCAGACAATCGCTGCGATAAAGTACATTTCAGCGCGTAGTCTTTCGCTTTCCAAGTATGCTGGACAATTTCACGATCATTATTATCATCGGTCAAAATGGGAACATCGGGTTTTCTTTCTCTTGTGTATTTAAATCTCTTCAAAGCTTTCTTTTGCTGTAAGTTCGACTTTTTTAGGAAAGGGTAAAACTTTTGAAAAACTTTTATTGACGGTGGGGTTTATGTGCTAATTTTAAGACTTTCCGTGTGCCCGCTTTCAGCACACTTTCTGGTTAGGATCAAAGTCACTGTAACGAAATTAAGTCTTGGAGCAATTAAGATAGCTAACTCTGGATTATTTTATCCGTGGTGTACGTTTTAAAGAGGGGTTGTTGTAATACTATTGTTTAATGTTTCTCTTTTAAACTGTAACTTTATGCGTTTTTTATCTCGTCCATTACACTTAAAAAAGGTCACACTATAGTGATGGGGTTACTACGGGTCATTCCGCAAAACGCGTTTTATTCTTTTTGCTGTTTATTAAAAAAAAAAGGCAGGAAACATCTGGCACATTTTGAGATTTAAAGTTTAGTTGGCGTTTTCTTTCCACGTTAGATTGTAGTGAAACTGTTGATGTTTCGAGAATATTACACGTTATTCCTGTGCCTGTGTCACAAAATAGTCATTTGTGGCAGTTTACAGGTCTTACCCAGTGCAGTACCTTATTTGGCGGTCTACAGTTTATGGCAAAAGATGTAGGTAAATAATATGCAACTGAATGAGACAATGCCGTCGTCTTGTTTAATTTAAAACGTTGCGTTGATTAGCATGGCTCTGGTTTCAATTAAAAAGGCCTTCGGATGTAGGATGCAGCGACTGCTTGTCTATTTTTAGCCTGTTCTGCTTTGATCATGTGCATTTCTGATTAAAAATTGATACCAATGCAGAACGTGTGAAATGGTTTCCGAATCGTGTTTTATTAATCTATCGTAGCGGCTTCAGAAAACAGTCTAGTTTAAAACGCGTTACATACTACCAGTACATGTTCAGATTGGCAAGGCAGTTACTTAAACTGAGTTTAATGATGGTTACAATTTTTAGCAAAACTATTAGTATTTAAATTATTTATGAAAACAATTCAAACGTCCTCTTAGTATTAGTGTATATATAAGGTAACAGCTGAAAAATGTAGAGGAAATGTGCAGAATTTGCGCTTGAGGATTCGTACCGCCTGCTTTTCCCAACAAAAAGTCTTGGTGTGTAAACTGTAGACTAAGATATCGACTTAACTGCACAAATATAGCTTTAAAATAAAGGACCTCACACAGGCATAACCATTTAGCCTTCCGTCCTTGTTAGACGGGATGAAACCGTGCACCTGTTGAGAACATGCAGACTCCACACAGACGGATCTTCTAGCTCTGACTCTAACCCAAGGACCTACCACCATACCTTCCTAAAAATAATACAGATTTCTTTTTAAAAGACCCAATGCTACTAAAACTAGCATTTAAAACTTTACCATTCTCTTCTGTTTTTGTCTCTTAATTTTTAGGTTTGCAGGAAGTTGGGCATTATAGAAGTGGATTACTTTGGGCTGCAGTTCTCAGGCAGCAAAGGAGAAAACCTGTGGCTGAATCTGAGAAATAGGATCTCCCAGCAGATGGATAGCCTGACACCCTGTAGGCTGAAGTTGAGAGTCAAGTTTTTTGTGGAGCCTCATCTCATTCTGCAGGAGCAGACGAGGTACAGCAGACTTCTTGCTCTCTAAGGTTTTAGTCCTTGGTGGGTGATGTGAGCTACCAGGCTCCCTTTCGAGCAACGCATCCCAACAGATTGGTTTAACGGAAGCTTCCGGTCAAAAAGAAACTTTCTGGTCGAAATGATTTTTCAGCATTTTACTAAGCTCAAAGGGTGTAAATATACATTCATCATTCATTACAATGCCTTATTGTTTTGTTTTCTGTTTTATGCTGTCTATTAAAAGTTTAGAAATTGCATACATGCGTTCTACAGATGTAGGAGACTCCTGTCAACACGCGTAGGCTGAATTCTCCAGACAAATGTCATAAATAGTCAAATGTGTGGCAGAACATGTAGTACATCTAAAGTTCTTGCAGTTTGCTGTACAGTAGAATGCCCTGTAGTAACCTCAGTCTGTGTGTTATTATAGGTCATTCATGAGAGCCTCAGCAGGAAGTACAGCCTCCCTCCTACATGAACTAAAGAAATCCCCCAGGGTCCCAAAGCCTCCTAAGTTTTCTGCTTTAAAAATTGCCATAGGAACCAGTAACGTCTTCCATATTTTATATTTCAGTTTGGTGTTCGTCATAACTTATATTCCGAACCCTTTTGCTCCAAGTAGAATTGCAGGCTCCTCTGTTGTTTCAAATCAGATTCAGAAGTATTCACATTACTGTTCGGCAGTTCAGGATCAGATCTGGCTCTTTTGTTGTTCTTCCGCTGTAGGGATTTTCTAGTTCTTTGATCAAAGAACGTGTCTCAACAACTGTGAGATGGGAGGGAATTGTTCAGTCTTGGGGACTTGCTTGCACATTTGTAGTGGATTAAAAAAAACAGAAGTGGTTTAAAAGACTGCATTTTTAAAAAATAAAGCAGCACAGAAATAATTGCCTGTTAATCCTGCGCTGGACAGCTGCCCTAATGGTTTCTTTTGTACTACTTAGTCCATGGACATGATTAGTAGGGTGCTGCCCTATTATAATGAGATTTGTTCTAGCATATTGAGGTTGTAGCTCCCTTTCTTCCTGTGATGATCTTTGATTCGAATGTGCTAAATGAGCAGCAGAAACTGGAAATCTTCCTTAGAAGGCAAAGAAGCCAGTTGTGGTGAGCAGAGGTAGGAAACGTGAAACTCAAGTGGTGTTTCCTGTAGATTCATGATCAAGGTAAAATCGAGACGTTCAAGGAGAAAGCACAGCTGAATTACACCACTTCAGTTGTGATTTCTTTCGGAACATCCCCAGGTGATCCCATTTTGGGACGATATTGTGATCACAGAATGAGAAATTTAAACGGCACTTTTAGGGGTTTGCGCAATTTTAAAGCAAATGTGGGGGGGCTGTCACACTTTAAAAAGAGGCATTAGGTGGGGAAATCAGCCGGTGGATCCTTAAGCTTTGGAAAAGTTTCTAGAACATTCTGAAGTTACCTGTGTGACGTTATCGTAAGTTATGGTAGGAAGGGACTTGATCCTATTTGGATGTCTATTTTTATAGCTGTTTAATTAAAAATGTTTAGGTTTTATTGCTCCCCTCCCAGTGTAGTTAACAAGTAAAAAAAGATGAGTACTTGCGACTTCAAATGTTGATCTTTTAAAACTGGTAACACAGGTATTCTGCATTAAGCCCAGGGAAATGGATGCTTGAAAGTTTTTGAAAATATTTGGCCAATCCCCTACCTTTTGGCCAAAGACTCAATATTTTCCATCTACTGTATATCATTGGAACTCGAGTGGTTTGTAGTCTTTCAGTAGTTAGAAATCTCTTTAGTGTGTGACAGGGAAGGATGATTGAGAATAGTTTGGTGCTTCCAATGCCCTTACATGTGTTGTGTAAGTGTATAAGAGCACACAAGAAGCTTAAACTGTTTTTAGTTTGCTGCTTTAAAGTTACCTGGTAACCACTGAGTGTCTGCAGGGGTTTCATTAATGGTCTGACAAAAACCAATCAGTTAATGCTACCCACACCAGTATGGAAGATAAATTGTTCTCTAAGTTCCATGCAAGGAAATTCTTCTCATAAGAGCAGGGATATAGCAAGACACACACACACCGTTGGTAGTCTGTTGACTGCCTTTTTGTGTTGCTGGCTCATTATGTATTACTTTTTTCAAAGTGGAAGCATACATAGTTGAGAAAAGAATAGCTTGTGTGTCAGCAAAGGAGATGGGTGTTTATGATCCTTGCTGAGAGAGTCGGAGCTGGAACGCAGATGGAGACGGCAGTTTATTTTCCAGTTTTGAGTCACTGCTGAACTGGAAGGCGAGCTGAGAGCATTTCAGCCTCCTCAAAACCCCCTTTGTTCTTCAGCCTGTACTTTGTACAAAGCTCCCTGTCCTGCTGAGGTCTGGTGGCAGATTTCATAACCCTCTTTGTCTCTTCACCTTTGACCTACATTGGGCTCACAGGAAAGAAAGACAACTGTTTTGATGGCTAAGCTACTTTTCTCCACAGTGGAGGAAGGTGACTTTTTAATGTTTTCACTTTAAACCGCTTTTTAAACTACTTTGCACAATTAGGTCTTACCAGTCCCTCTGTTGTAGGTCAAGTTATAACCAGCCCAAATGGTAAAAGAGCTCCGTTTGTTTGCTCTAGATCTTTAAAAGGACAAGGACCATCTGCTCAAGCAGATATTGACAAAAGTAGGGATTTGCATAAGTTAAAAGCAAAATTTAAACTTTTAAAGACTGTGAGGAAACAAGTTTCATTTTATGCTTGTAGCTTTTTTTTCCACAAGATTAGTGCTATTACTTCATGTGGGTTTGTCTTCTAGAACCACACCACACTATAAGTGAAAATGCTTCCTTTTTAAACTACAGTGAAGTTTTTCTGTTGTCTGTTTATTCATGACTTTTAAGCATATGGCTTGAAGGGCTTGGTTATACACCAGCAGTAGGGCTGTCAAGATCCATTGTATGTCCTCTCTATTTAATCTCGTCTCCAGAATGATTTATCATGACCCTGAGTTTAACAGGAGCGCTTTAGGGCCATAGCCCTGTGTGTTCACTACTAAATGCACAAAATTACCTTGAAGTGCGGACTTAAAATAGCATTTGTGACTGGCATGGAATTTAAACTGGTATATGGTAAATATAGGACCAGGTCTGTGGTCCTGTGCAGGCCTTAAACAAGACTTTGTAGCTGTGGTTTTCTTAAAGAAATACCACAGCATTGATACCAGTAATGAAAATTTTCATTTTTGGTTTTGCTGAATGTTAATGCATTTAAATTATGTTAAATCAGATCACTTAATTGGAAGGGAAGATTATATCAAGTGTAACAGACCTGTTTGCCAGTAGTTTCCAAAAAATACTTGCTTCTGCTAAGAGCATTTGGCAAATGTTTTTCTTTTGTTATTGCAGCTGATGCAGTAGTAGTCCTAAAACGTGGGAAAACTTGACTTCCTTCTAAGAAATAAAGGGATTAAGGACCTGTTTGATATTGTTTTGAAATGTTCTTGTCTGTCCTGTTTGTGAATACATAACACGCCCTCTAACCTTGAGTTATGTCTGTCACCTGAAGGAAAAAAAAGTTTTTTTTATAAGCCTGTAGTTAAAGATTACTTTTCTCATTCTGTGTTCTGACATGGTTAGGTTTTTTTTTAATCGCTGCTGGCATAATCTGGTATTTTGTGACATTCTGAAAAACAATTGGCGTATGGCCATTGCTGTATGTGAGAATTCATTTTTCCATAGAAATTATAGGGTGTTAACACCTGAGCATGTTTTTTTTTTGTTTGTTAAATGAAGCCAGGAATAGTTTCTCTCAAATCTTTTCTTGGACACAATTATGTAATTCTTGGGAGGAGGGAAGCGAGAGACAATTTTTGACTCTAGTGATCGTTGTGTGACTGATCGAGCTGTTGAACAGCTTTCAGCCATATCCTTAATGAATGCTGCATTTGGTTTGTAACCGTTGTTCAATTCTTTGATGTTTTTCCCCATTTGGAAAGTGTTTAACATTCTGATCAGCGTGCACGTTATCCTGAGAGCACCCACTATGTTAATACCGCCTCCATCTGCAATGAATAAGCTGAAAAGAACCCCTTCTTAATTAATCTTTTACTATCTAGCAGGTGTAAACTTTGCAACACTTTTATATCCTCTGTTGCACAGCAGGTTTCCTTACGAGTGTGTTGATCTTGGGTTTTTATTTTTGCCAGAGCTATGTGGAGTATTTGCACGGAAGATGGTGTTTGCCATAGAAATGCAAATTGCCTCGTCTGCCAAGCATAGTGTGTGGAGTGTAAGGCATGTGATTCGAAGGCCACTGTGTAAATCGCTGATCTTGCATTGGGGGTCCGTAGTCTTGCAACATCAGGCAAGGGGGGCTTTGTTTCTCCAGTGTACAGTGGCTTCGCTTTTGAAGAAAGCAGCCTGGGCCTTTCGTGGCTCTTCAGCACCCCTTCCTCATTCCTGGAGACTGGGGTACAGCACTTCACCCTCGGGGAGAGGACAGAGCCTTAACTAAATCAGCAGACACTCACTTGTATCGGGTCTTTCAGCAGCAGCTTACTGTACCTGGCTGCAGCCAGTGCGAAACTGACATGTCCAGTGCTTGTGGTTAAATGAACCCAGCTGTATAGGGCAGCGCATGAGATGCCATGTTTTTGGATACTCATTGAGCTCCCTGAAATGATTATCCACGTATGCTTTTGATCAGTGAATTTTCCTCTGGGCCAAAATATCTTTAACATTTTTTAAAGTGCAGCACTTTAATGGTCTTGCATTATTATTGAGCCAAAGGTGCTGCCCTCTTTTTTTCCCCTGTTTGTGTTCTCTTTTTGGGAGTCTCATTTTGGTGCATGTTCTAGCAGATCTCTGAGGTAAGGTAAGGTTTCAAAAGCTTTGAAAACCTATTGTTGTAATAGAATGTTTGTTTTTTTTTCCTGCGGTGTGTTTGACTGTTGGTAACCTTCAGTCCTCGTTTATTTGCAATGGAAATGAGGTGCGTGATCAATTAAAATTGACTTGCAAGCCTCGTTGTTGTTGTTGTAGCAGAGCAA